GTTACGATTCATGTAACTTTAACAGTGAGCGTCCCTCCGTAATCATTAGCCTTCAAGCAACTCCAAATGCAGTAGGACTTGGCTGATGCCTTTAACAGGTGGCCAGGACCTAAGTGGGGACTCACTCAGTTTAGCCGCATTTCTATAGTTAGGAACCCACTTAGACATAACCTACCCATAGTTTAGGGCAAAGTTTTCGATTGCTTTGTTTGCTGATCAGAGTTTGCTAGTCTTAGATCTCAGTCCGGATCCACTTCTGGTCCGAACTAAACCCTGCTGGGTCCGAGTCCAGGCTTGTTTCCAGCTTAGCTCAGGTCCAAACCAAGTTCTCAATCGGGTCCGAACCTAGGCTCCCTCTTGGTGCGACCCGAAGCTCACACCAAATCTCACCCAGATCTTAGTCCGGGTCCAGACTTGGTATAAATTCAAAACCCTCTAGGTTCAAGTCTAGGTTTGGATCCAACTTAGCCCAAGTCCAAACCAGGTTCACACCCAAGTCCGAACCTAGACTCCCTCTCGGTCAGAACCAAGACTCATACCCATCTAGTCTAGATCTCAGTCTATGTCCTAGCATAGGTCTAAACTTAGAGTTACCTCCAGGACTAGATTAGATTCACCCTAGTTTAGGGCTCAAACCAAAATCCATCAAGTCTAATCAAGATCTCGAGTTTAGTCCTAACTACGGTCTAGATTTAGAGTCGCCCCTGGAATTAGATTAGGTTCCCCTTAGTTTGGGGTTCAAGCCTAAGCTCATCAAGGCGAAACCCAGGTCTTTCTAGGTCTATGACAAGGCCCATGCCCAGTTAAGCCCGACTCTTGAATCAGGTCCAAATCAGGTTTCAACTTCAAGTCTGTCCATACGTCCAAACAAGGCTCACCCTTGGTCTAGCCCTCAGTTTTACCTATATTCAGTTTATGTCTAGCTAAGGTTGAGTCTTAGTCCAGCTAAATCCATTTGGGCTCGAGTCTAAGTCTAGCCTATGTCCATCTTCAAGCTAAATCTAACCTTCTAGTTTAGAGCTGTAGCCCAAGATCAAAGTAGAGTAAGGTCCAACCTACAGCTCCAGTCTAGTCTAGATTCGGGGAACCTAATCAGTCTGAGAGGCACCATCACAGTGCTCCCTCACAAATCCATAGTGCTCTTGTCAGTGAGCCGAGTCTCAACCCATATGGAACCATACCTAAGCCACCCTCAGGGCCATCATTTGGAAGCCACAAGTCAGAAGTTTAATAGGGTCCGTAACACCCTGAACAGTAAAAGGGTTAGGCCAGGGAAAATCCTCCTAGACATGGGGCTTTGCCTCAAATCTAGTCGGCACACCAAAGGTTAGGGCCCAACCCAAATCTTTGAGTCAACCAATCCCAGTCAGGTTAACCCCCTATGTTCAATCAGCAGTTCAACATTTTGGTCTTAGGAATAAGCCAGTCTGGGGGCAAGTAGGTTCATATACAACTAGGAAACGTTTACCCAAGCAACCCAACACTAGTAAAGGTCAGGGTTTTGACGTAACCCACTATCAAGACAATCATAAGGTGTATGCATTCTTTTAAGACCTATCGAATCGAGGGTATATCATCCAATGTAGTCAATCTAGATAGGTTAGGCTAAAAGTTTAAGCTATAGGTCATGTCCAACCTGTCGGCTCAAACAAATATAACCCTAGGGGTGCTAGCCTGTTAATCCAACCACTTAAAGGCCAGGGGTCTAACTCAAGTCATCACTCGACTTCATAATTATCTCGAGGGCAAACTTCATCTGACAATAGTTAAAACCTTCATTCACTCTTTTAGTCCAGTGCTGGGACAAGATAATATCCTCACCCTAGGGTTAAATCATCGAGACAAGGTCAGGGATAGGCAGACCTCACTGCCCAGTGTCAGAGTTCTAATCATCATAGCAGCTCGAGTCGCCCATCCTAGACATGTGGTGATCCTATTCTGCAGGCCTTCTTGCATGGCCACATAGGCCAAACTTAGGGCAACGGGTCAGCTCTGGCCCATTTCAAGTTAGGTGAGTCTATAGGTTGACAACTGGCACACCAAGTTCAACACATCCCCCAAGCTCAATGCTTGGATCAACCCACTACATGGGCCCAACAGCCAGTCTATGCAAGCCACACACCGCAAATCTAGGTCCAAATGGCCATACAACCGAGCCAGGTCACTGTTATACCAACAACCCAATTCACCCACATGAAACGCCTCTAAGGATCTTTAGAGAAAATAGGAATATGAGATTTCTTATCTCTTAAAGCCTATATACAAGAAACTTTAAGATACCTAGAAGATCTACCAGTAGGGTTTGTGATCCCACAATTCATAAAAGAATTTTATGGGAAAGAGGATCCTAAGGCACACATCAATGTCTACCTATTAATTATACATACACTGCAAGATCTACCTAACCATATTAAGGTCATGTCCTCGCATAGCTTGTCAAGAGAGCCCCTAACGTGGCATAAAAAAATCATGAAGGATAACCCTCAAGCAACTCCTGATGAAATGTTCAGACAATTTTCTTCCCGTTATTGTGGGGGAAGACCATAGCCCGTCGCCCTTGGTGAGTTAACATCCACCAAACAAGAATCGGACAAAAGTCCCTCTAATTTTATAACAAGATTTAGAGAAGTTGTTATGAGAGTCGCTGAGACTCCACTCCCTGAACTTGCAAAGGTAGACATGGCATTGGAGAATAAGACCCCAGAATATGTCACCTAGGCCAAATAAGCCCAATAATAAGTTGATTCAAACTCAAATAGATGGTAAATAAAGTCCCAAGGTTCAAAGACACAACTTTGAAATTTTAGCCAAAAATTTGAAACAAACTTGGCCCTAAAAACTTTAATTTCACCCCTTAAAAGATATAAATGCCAATCCCTTGGTCATTTGGGGGATACTTAGGTGCTCTTTTTGCAATTGATATCATGTCATGAGTGCATGAGACACTTCTAAGCTCGCAGAGAGAAAGAGAAGGGAGCTTTGGTTCCAAAACCTAGTGTGAGGATCTCAACTTTAAGGGGCTTTGAGACTAAGTAATTGAAAAAAATAGAGCTCTAAAGTGAGAGTGCTTGGATTCGAGGGGCACTATCTAAAAGCCAAATAGCACTTGATTGTGAGCTTCTCAACATAATGGGGATTGAGATCAAGTAATCAAGATCTTTTTAAGGACTCTTAATGCTTAGATCCTAGAGATCTAAAAAGAGTGGATGCCTTAGAGAGAGCCCTTGGAGAGAGAGAGAGAGAGAGAGAGAGAGAGAGAGAGAGAGACTACACGTTAAGGTAAAGTAAAA